GTCGCCATTTCACATGGTTGCGAGTTCCATGACCGGGATACCCGTTGGCTGAATGAAAACTTTCTGTGGTCTAGTCGCGTACATTCACTTCTGAATCTGTAGAGAATGGCCGCGTATTTAATTTGTTAAGGCAAACGCGAAAAGTCCTTCGGTCCCAGCGACCAGCAATGGCGACGGATAATTGGAGACGTACAGAGCAGCGTGCGACTTAATTACTTGTGTTGTAGAGGGAATAACTCCGGCACACTCAACCTATACTGGTACGGCAGATACTGAAGATCATCGACTATCTTCGTTGATCTGAGTTGCATCTGTTCAGTATTCTTCCTCATCCATGGTGTAACCGCTGGCATCCGATATTTCTGATGAAGTCTCACGGAAATGCCAAAAATTCTTCCTAAAAGTTCATGGGAAAATATGCAAGTGTACATCTGATCCAATTTAAAGTACAAGTTAACTTCTGCGCCATCTTCCTGCAGTGTTCTGACAGCTTTAACTTTGTGGTCACCCACATAGCCAAATCTCTGTGTATTTCTACATCTTCTGTTTCAGTCCCGTTAATATTATACTTATGTTCTGAAGAGACGTATAGGTCGGCGTCCAGGTATAGGGCAATCCAAATGGATATATTATATTTTAAAAGCCGTCTGTTTGACCAAGAACTCAGTTTATTGGTGTCCGAATGTAACTTCTTTGGGTCATCAACACAAATTAACTTCATTCCAATCTTTACGTTATCTGCGTACATGAAAGCCTCAGAATCTAATTCGCTACACTGGCTCTATAAAAATAACCTGCATGATTGCACCGTGTTTCATCGGATTTACCTGGGGAAAGAAAGTCAATTTTCAAGTACAGCAAGTTCCTCTTGGTAAAGCTGTCGAGTTTAGATTACTTTCTGCTCCTATAGAAGCACGCAGGGATAATCAAACAGTCTAGGATAGCTATTAGCAGAGAGGACTTCCGGAATCCAAAGTAACACAGAGTTCTGTTCAAATTTGGAAAAAATGTTGGTTGATGATCATATGTGTAAACATAGTGTGCATGTAAAAAGGATATTTTCTGGATTAGGCTAGACGGATAAGTAAATTGTGCTGCATTTTATTTGTCTACAATTGGACATCTCATTTTTTGTTATAATTTTTGATGTGTTAAGTCATACGATATAAATCAGGAAGTGTAGTGGTTCCAAAACAGAACTCTGTTGTGGAATTTCTGACAACGATTCTGAGCTCTGGAAGACAGCAAGCTACTGATTTATTCAGAAATTCCTCCTCGAATTCCTACATCCCAAATCTTCCGTAGAAGAAGCCTGTATGGTAGGCTGTCAAAGGCCTTCTTGAAGTCAAAAATATTCCATCTACTAGGAAGCTCCCATCTACGGCTTTCGCTCAATTCTCATGCAAGTAAAGAACTCTTGTGCTGCAAGAGCATCCTTGACGTAAGCCATATTGGACATCACGCAATATTTTGTCCTTTTCCAGACATCCCATTAAATGTATTTTGATAATACGTTCCACAAGTTCACATGCGGTAGAAGTTAGACTGACTGGAAGATAGTATTCGCCGTCAAGTAGTGAGCATCCATCATAGATTTGAGTTATGAATGCATATTTCCACTTTTCCTAAAGTTCGTCTCCCTCAACAAACTTCTAAAATTTAATAGACAGTGGTCCGCACAGTTCACTAGCGAAATCTCGAATTCCTAGCTCAAAAATTCGTTTCGGACCAGGCGATATGACAGGCTTCCGTTGGAATAGTTCAGCCTGAACGACGATTGACGAAAAGTATATCTCCCCTACTGAGGAGAGGGAAGAAAAGGGTGGAGATATTGTTTGTCAAACGGGTGGAGATTAGAAAAAAATCTAGGCGGACTGAAATAAATTAGAAAAAAAGGACTCTTTAACCTGATCGTTGTTCTCCTGCTTTCCGTCCACAGACCTGAGAACAGAAATCAGGTCCTGATTTCTTTTAGCACTCAAAATGTAGCCATATAGAATTTTAGAGTGTTACAGTGAAATTTGCAGCACGTGCAGTTTGAACTTTCCCCGAAGCTTTGTAGCCTCCTTTTTACCAATGTCTCGTCGTTGCTTATATTCACGTGATTGCTCTTCGGAGCCGGCTAGTCTGTAACGCATCTAAAAGCTATTCCTTTTTGATAGGGACGTTCTAGCTTGAATTTATTTCCTTCGGTGGTTTGTGGTTAACTTTCTTCTGAGAGGACAGGCTATAATTCAGTATATATGAGGAATAAAGGAAGAGCCTTGGAAAACCCTATTTACAGATAGACGTATGAAAAAAACATGCAGATATTCACATAGCAGTTATGCCAGTCATTGATATCATGTAAATGTTTGACCATTAAGCATAAATTTATCTAATGTTCTTTTGAAAGTCTCGACGTTTTCCGCTAAGACAACGAAGTTCGGCAATTTGTTCCATCCCCCAACCAGCCGGTGGGAGAAGAATTTGGCCCGCAACTCGAGTTTGGCATATTTAGTCTTCAATGTGTATTGGTGCCCTCGAAGATTTGTCGTCCGCGCCAGCTCGAAAAAATTGTCAAACTGAAGGGCACAGTCTAGCCCTCGGACGATCCTGAAGGCCATGATCATATCCCCTCTCTACTGCGACAATCGCCCTCAGTAAATTAGTCTTCCTTAGTCTAATCACTTCTCTTCGTACTTAACGGCGGTCACTGGTAATTATCTACTTTGATCTTAGCAAAACCTTGAATAAGGTGCCACATAGACGTCTTTTGGTAAATTTGGAATACCTCGACATCCGGCCTCCTCTACTCAACTTTATCAGATCCTACTTATCCAAACGCTATTAAAAAGTAATGCCTGGGAATAACTACACGACGCCCGACGCGATCAAGAGTAGGTTAGTTCAAGGCACAATTCTGGGTCCACTAATCCTCCTTCTTTACAGCAGTGATATTTCGACCGGAATTAGATATCCACAGCTGTGTAATTATGCTGGTTACCTATATTGTGTTAACCCATATTCTAAGGACACCGCAAATGTTTGTGTTGAAAAAAGTATGCTGATTTACTACACTTATGCGGATGGAGTTCTACATGTCTAATGCAGTTTTCTTCGTCAATGTGTAGATTCATGTTTTCGGATCTGCCAGATTTCGTGGTCCCATATTTTTTCAGAATAACCCTCCTCAAAATGCTTCGCCCTAAAGGTTTAAGTTGTACCTATAAGCTTACTATATAGCCTCATGCAGATAGAATCAATGCTAAAGCTGCGCTGATGTGTTCGTTCAGATCACATAATTATTTCTTTCCAGACCAATACTAACGTAGGTTCTCTAGCTTAATGAATTCGTGTGACCATAGCAAAATCGAAAATTTTCAGAGAGATTCCATTCAAAAACTCTTTTCTCAAGCTACATCCGGCATTTCCTTTACTGAGATATGTCAGTTGGCGAATGTTAACTTTTGTGGGCTAGAAGATACGAAGTTGGCCTCTGCTTCCTGTTTCGCATTAACTCTGACTGTAATCGTCCGCGCATTGATATTTTTCCTTCGAGAGGTCGGTCTTATATCACGCGCAACTCCCCTGTGGTGTTTCCGCCTCCTCTTTGAAGTACACCGAAACGCTATGTCCCTTTTTACATCCGAATATGCCTTCCTTTAAATTAACCTCCCACTAGAATTTAGGTCATCGTCTAAAATATTTGTATATAAGTCAAAATTACGCAAGCATGTTACATACTATTTACGACATATTCCAAAAGGTTCCAGTGAAATCGAAACAGACTGCGTAAAATGCAAAGCCATTGTCTGTAGATTGGATAACATGATCAAAGAAAGAGTACAGACAGGTACCACAAGACCGAGCTTTGAGGAATCTATGCTTAGCAGCATTCAATTGGTTACTTTATGTTAAGTGACACATCATCTTATTTCTGATCATTGTCTCTACGGCCTTCTAAAATGTTGTCAAAAGTAATCAAATGACGTAGATCGTCCGTGCTTGGGACAGGTAGCACGTGTGATTCCTTTAACTAATCGCCACATTCACGTTCCAGAGGGCGAGTTATAGTTTGGGGGGCGGCCCTGATCCGATCCTGGACGTTCGAAAGTGGAGTGGTCGAGTCGTTAATAAACGTCCTGTGCAAGAAAGCATTGAGACCCTCAGCAGTCGACGTGGCGTCTGCTAGTTTACTGATGTTTTTATGAAAGGAGGAGAACTTAATACTTCTGGGTGACTGCCGCGCTGCAGTAATAAGCTGCGATATTCCCTTAGCAAACGCCCCATCCACGTCATTCGAACACACGCCGCTACAAATTTCTCCAATTGAATACCTCATCTAACACGTAAAATTTGATACACGATTAAGAGAAGGACGACTTTCCCTCCGTTTAAATCTCGTCTTTAGTAAAGAAGGAGAGGTCATAATGGAAGTGAGTGAATATTTTGCTTTGACCTGCATGTGAGGTGAGTTGGGGTGCCACAAAAGTCACATTAATAATCATTGCTACCTGGCTCTCCGTCATCCGAGGAGGACCAATTAATTCTGTCATTTGGCAGCCTTCTTAATTACAGATTTCAGCTTAAAGTGATCGATTCACGCGTGCCAGGTTATTAACACTGACGAATTGTGCGCTGAGTCGACCCCACTCGCTATACCGTATCTCATCAACCAATCGGCCGTCCAAGCCCATCAGTCAAACGACGATGAAGACACTAAATAATTACTGAACTCGGGCGACCCCGACATACATTTCCAAATGAGATTTGAAATGAACAAGCAAACCTTCGTCGACGTCTTTGTGCGCCAGAGGAGAAATGCATACAACAGCACACAGAACAGGAAAACTTCTGACGTAACCGTCACGTTCAAAAGTCATAAGGAGAAAAGTACATCGCGAAGGGACATGGAGGAGCAGGGGGTCTTCATGAGGGTAGGATGAAGTCCTGGGGATGTAGGGTAGTGCCACGCCCAGGTTGGGACTTATGATAGGCATGAAAGCTCGATATCCCAGATGCCAGAACGTAATCTTGAAAACAAATATCGGCAAACGAAACGAGGCAACTTGGAGCGTGCGCACCAACATAGCCTCGATTACTTCTCTGGGAGGTTGGTTATGGACGACGTCGTGTTTTGTGAAGGACACGATGTATGGACTAACGACTTTGAAAAAAATCGGATTTTGACCCGTGGCGTCATGGCTGCTTGCGAAGGTAAATTGGATTGTCTCTTTTTTGACAAAAGCGCTTCGCATAAGTGATCATCAAAAGCCAACCGTGAAATACGTCACCTTGTTTAGCTATCCGTGCTGTGCATCAATACACGTTTGCTGCTAAATGTTGCCTAAGGCAGAGCAAAACGACTGCTTGCTATACTGACTGTAGCGTAAAATTGATCGCTTTACTGATCACTATGGCCTTCGTCCGCCACCCTGAATGCATACCTGGAGATCATATTGAATCCCCTGTCGTGCGTCTGCGTTAACTAAAAACAATGTTTTCTAGCGTTGGCAATATAATTTATGGTTACTATTTAGTTTCTAGATGATTAGGTGTGGAGTCCGGCAGCCGTCTGGGATAACCGGGCAGCCCTGTTCAGGGATGCGTTGCCTGCCCTCGCGAGGGGGAGGGGGCTAGAAAAGGTGCCGTAAAGATCGCTGGGAACCAAGCTGTCTGTAGGCTGGCCGTGGCCGCAGACAAAAAAACACGGTCGAAACAGCCAAAACCGAAATAACAAAAACAGCAATCACACTCTTCCTCTTCCAGCTTATTCTTCTTCTTCTTCTTCTTCTTCTTCTCCTACTCCTACTTTTCGCCGCTGCAGTCGCCAGACTGGCAGGGTGAGCCCGCTCACTCTGGCAGCCTGGAATGTTCGTTCCCTTTTAGACAATCCGAGGAGAAACCGACCGGAACGGAGGAAGGCGCTAGTGGCACGAAAACTGGCGCGCTACAAGGTGGACATCGCCGCACTCAGCGAGACCCGGTTCTCCGAACAAGGCCAACTGGAGGAGGTGGGTGCCGGCTACACCTTCTTCTGGAGCGGTCGACCCAAGGCAGAGCGACGGGACGCGGGTGTCGCCTTCGCCATTCGGAACGACATCGTAGGACGACTGCCCTGTTTGCCGCAGGGCATCAACGATCGCCTGATGAGCCTCCGCCTGCCTCTCTGGGGAGGCAAATTCGCCGCCATCATCAGTGCCTACGCTCCGACGATGACCAACCCCGACGCCGTCAGGGACAAATTCTACGAGGACCTGCGTGCCCTCTTGGCGACTGTGTCAAAGGCGGACAAGTTGATTGTCCTTGGTGACTTTAACGCCCGCGTCGGCACAGACCATACTGCCTGGAGAGGAGTGCTGGGTCCCCACGGTCTACGCGGCTCAAACGACAATGGTCTGCTGCTTCTCCGCACCTGCGCAGAACACCGCCTCATCCTGACGACCACGTTCTTTTGTCTGCCGGAGCGAGAGAAGGCCACCTGGAGGCATCCTCGGTCGCGCCAGTGGCAGCTGCTGGACTATGTCCTCGTCCGGAGGCGAGATCAGCAGGACGTGCTGGTGACGAAGGCGATCGCGGGTGCTGACGGGTGGACCGACCATCGCCTCGTCATCTCGAAGATGCGTATTCGCCTACAGCCTCGCAGGAGACCACAAGGTAAACGACCCCCAGGTAAGCTGAATGTTGCCTTGTTGTGTTTGCCCGCTCACCATCTTAATTTCAGCAATGAGCTAGCTCAACGGCTAGACAACCTTCCTATCGCTGCCGCCGACGACGCCGCCGCCGCTGCCGAGAACGCCTCCGTGGAGAACCGCTGGTGTCAGCTGCGAGACACGGTCCAGTCGACGGCGCTCGCCGTCCTCGGTCGCGCTCCCCGCCAACACCAGGACTGATTCGACGACAACAACGCCGCCATCAGAAATCTGCTAGCTGAGAAGAACCGCCTACACAAAGCCTACGTAGATCACCCCACTGAGGACAACAAAGCTGCCTTCGACCGCAATCGCCGACAGCTTCAGCAACGACTGCGCGAGATGCAGGACGTCTGGACTTTTCGCAAAGCTGAGGAGATCCAAGGCTACGCGGACCGCAACGAATGGAAGAACTTCTTCTCTGCGATCAAAACTGTCTACGGTCCGCCGACGAAGGGCACTGCTCCTTTCCTCAGCGCCGACGGCAAACCTCTCCTGACTGAGAAGACGCAAATACTACAGCGATGGACCGAGCATTTCCGAGGCGTCCTCAACCGCCCCTCCGCCATCTCCGACGCCGCCATCGAGTGTTTGCCGCAAGTGGAGACCAACGTGGACCTCAACCTCCTGTCATCTCTCCATGAGACCACCAGGGCCGTGCAGCAGCTTTCCAGCGGGAAAGCACCCGGATCGGACGCAATCCCTGCTGAGGTCTACAAGCACGGAGGTCCCCAACTCATGGACCACCTGACTGCGCTCTTCCAGGAGATGTGGCGTCAAGGTGAAGTCCCGCAAGATTCCAAGGAAGCAGCAACCGGGCATCTCTACAAGCGAAAAGGAAACCGCCAAGTCTGCGACAATCACCGTGGCATCTCCTTGCTGAACATCGCCGGGAAGATCTTCGCTCGCGTCCTCCTCAATCGCCTGAACGAATATCTGGAACAGGATCTTCTGCCGGAAAGCCAATGCGACTTCCGTCGTCATCGTGGGACCACGGATATGATCTTCGTCGCCCGTCAACTTCAGGAGAAGTGCCACGAGATGCGGACCCACCTGTACTCTACCTTCGTGGACCTAACGAAAGCCTTCGACACGGTGAATCGTGAAGGACTGTGGAAGATCATGCAGAAATTCGGCTGTCCGGAGCGATTCACTCAGATAGTGCGTCAGCTGCACGACGGTATGATGGCGCGAGTCACGAACAACGGAGCTGTATCAGAGGCATTCGCAGTGACCAATGGAGTGAAGCAGGGCTGCGCACTGGCGCCTACCCTCTTCAGTCTTATGTTTTCTGCCATGCCGATGGACGCCTACCGCGACGAACGCCCCAGGATCCGCATCGACTACAGGACGGACGGTCATCTCCTGAATCAACGGAGGATGCACTTCCAATCGCGCGTATCCACAACCACCGTTCACGAACGCCTCTTCGCCGACGACTGCGCCCTAAACACCACCTCGGAAGAGGAGATGCCTGCGAGAACTTCGGTCTGGTCATTCTTTAGCCAGTGATGATTCTCAACTCTGTGAAATCTTTAAATTAATTTCGAAAGCTGCTTTCGATGTTAAAATAATCAATGGGGATTTTAACCTTCCTGAAATTGACTGGTTTTCCAATAGCTGCCCACCCAAATTCCAGCCCTTTCAAGATATTGTCAACTTTTCTAATTGGTCCGAAGCAAATGAAGTCAAAGTGCAGTTGAAATTGATGAGTTTGTTTTAGGTTTTTTTCCTGAGTTCAAAGGGGACTGACAGTGTCCAAGGGGCGCTACAATAAACCTATTCAATTCAACTGGTGCGCTCTCCAACAAGAGATAATCACATTTTAGATCTAATCTTTACCAATGACATTGCTCCTCTTTCTGTTGCTTTAAAAAAGGACCTCTTTGACAGTGACCACGTATTAATTCATTGTTGCTTACCGCTTGCCTTTTCAAAAAAGACAAGCGCCGTTCAGACTTTCATGAACTACGACTGCGTAGATAGCGACTTAATAAATAACTATATGAGACCCTTGGATTGGTGTGGCTTCCTCACTTGTAGCGATGTAACCATTCTTCGTGATGTCATGTCCAATGTTTCCAATGACATTCTAGAGTTTGTGCCGCGTAGTTATCTCAAGCCTAATTCTTCAGATTCCCTTGTTCCTCATTTTCTTCAGAACAGACTAAAAAGTTGAGGCGACAACTGCGTGACCAATCCACTAGTTCCTTATCTGTTCATTTTAGAATCACAGAGATATTTGAGATGGCCTCAAGGATGCGCCTAGCGCGCGACAGGCAAAGAGAATCAATTGCTCTCAGTGGTTCGAACCCTGGCAAATCCGTCGCTAACATCTTCCGTCATCGGTCCTCCTCTAAGCGTGGTCATGAACTTCCACCCATGCTAAATGATAAAAAAGTCTTCCTCACCGATGACACTGACAAGGCGGAGTTGTTTAGTCCTTTCTTTGCAAAACACCTTGCTACCGAGTCCGATCCGGTCCCTTTCTTTCGATCACTTTCAGATAGGACACTTAGTACAATTGATGTCTCCTCAGATCTCATTAAGAAACACATAAGCCGTTTGAAATACTCACACTGCTCAGGAACGGACGGGATTCCGAATTCGATTATTAAACAAGCGTCCGACTTTCCCATATTGCTCAGTCATTTATTCTCGGTTTATATTTCAAAAGGATTCTTTCCTCAAACATGGAAAACGTCAATTATCCTTCCCGTTTGCAAGTCAGGATCTCGGTCCGATGTTAGTAACTATCGGGGCGTGCACAAAACGCCGTCTCTAGCAAAACTTCCTGAAAGGATTATTTTCAATGAAATTCTTGACTTCTGTCTAGCTAATCGGCTTCTGAGCTCTATTCAACATGGATTTTTACCTGAACGATCCTGCGAAACATGCCACTTGGCTTTTCTTAATCTAATCACTTCTCATCGTAATGAGCGGCAGTCAGTGGTAGTTATTTACTTTGATCTTAGCAAATCCTTTGACAAGGTGCCCATAGACGTCTTTTAGTAAAATCGGAAGCTCTCGGCATTCGGCCGCCTCTACTTGACTTCATCAGGTCCTATCTGTCCAACCTATATCAGAAAGTCATGGTCGGTAATAGCTACTCGACACCCCATTCCATAACGAGTGGCGTACTTCAAGGCACGGACCTGGGTCCGCTACTCTTCCTTCTGTACATCAATGATATTTCGACTGAACTCGGAAATTCGCAAACTTTTACTTATGCCGATGACATCAAGTGTGTTTGCTCATACTCTAAGGACACCGCAAATGTTTGTGTTGAAAAAATTAATGCCGATTTACTACGCTTAAGCAGATGGGGTTCGACATGGCAGATGGAGTTTTCATCATCCAAGTGTAGTTTCATGTCTTTTGGTCCTACCAAACTACCTGGTCCAATAATTTTTCAGAGTAACCCAATCTCAGAATGCCTCACCACAAAGGACCTAGGTCTAAGTTATACAAATAAACTAGCTTTATCACCTCATGCAGATAGAATCTCTGCCAAAGCCGCGCAGATATGTGGATTCATATCGCATAATTTTTTCCTTCCGGAAATGAAGCTAAGACTTTATCAAATGTTTGTTCTTCCAGTCCTCGAATATTGCTGTCCTTTCTTCGGTTTAATGA